TCTATTCAGACGCGATCGCATCCAAATTGGGCCTTAAAGCTTCCAACTTAAAAAATTTCTCAAGAATTAAAAATGTGCGGAATTAAAACAAAAATCAGCGTATTCCACACTATTCATTATTAAAAGCTGAGAAAAGTAGCTCTTTTGACGGTCCTCATTTTGGGTGACAATTTTTTGAAAAACCTCTGTTAAACACGGTTTTTGCCAAATTGCGTTTTGAAGCTTCCAACTAAAAAAATTCTCAAAAATTAACCAAATGCGGGATTAAAACGAAAATCACCGCAACAATAGACCGAATTATTCTCTATCAAATAGTGGTCAAAATAATTTTATTCCTTACCCAAAATTTCCAATGACGCATTTTGGAAGTCTATTCAGACGCGATGGCATCCAAATTAGGCCTTAAAGCTCCTAACTTAAAATAATTTTCAAGAATTAAAAAAGTACGGAATTATAACAAAAATCAGCGTATTCATATTCCACACCATTCATTATTAAAGGCTGCGAAAAATAGCTCTTTTGGCGGTCCTCATTTTGGGTGACAATTTTTTGAAAAGTCTCTGTTAAACCCGGTTTTTGCCAAACTGCGTTTTGAAGCTTCCAACTAAAAAAAATCTCAAAAATTAACCAAATGCGGAATTAATTCGTAATTGTCTGTGATAACAGAATACAGTATTCTCTATGAAATATTGCTGAAAACAATTTTATGGCTGGTCCAAATTTTGCGTGACAATTTTCTTCAGTCAAAACGCCGTCTTGTCCCAACCGCCCACTAAAGTTTCCAACTTAAAAAATTCTCCAGACTCGAATAAAATTGAGCCTAAACTTAAAATTAGTGTAATCATAGATCACAGTAGTCTCTATTGAATAGTGATAAAAATAGGTCTCTAGCGGGTGCACATTTCTAATAGTGATACATTTTTGAAAAGTTAATTCTAAACGCGGTCGTGGCCAAACTGCAGTTAGAGCGTGAAGCTTAAGAAACTCAGGAATTAAGCAAAAGTGAGGCTAATTGGAAAATCGCAAAGTAGTCTCCAGTAAGTACTGTTAAAAACAGAACTATCACTAGTACTCTTTTTGAGTGAAAATTTTTCGAAGTCCCATTGAAACGCGCTAACAGGGAATCTACACTTTGAGGCTCCTTAACTTAAAAAAAAATGTTAAGTAGTAAGCAAATGTGGGATTGAAACGAGAGTCACCGAAATTATAGACCAAATAATTCTCTATGAAATGGCGCTAAAAGCAAATCGTTCGCTGATTCTAATTTAGACTTGTAATTCTTTAAAAAAATTCCTTTCAAACGCGGTGGGAACCAAGTTACATCTTGAAACTTCCCACTTAAAAAATTCTCAAGAATTCACAAAATGTGGCATTAACACGAAAACCATGGCAATCATATACCCAAGTATTTGCTATTAAATGGTGCTAAAACGAACTCTATAACTGGTTCCTATTTTAACTGACAAATTTTATAAAAATAGCTTGCAATCGTGATGGAAGCCAAACTACACTTTAAAGCTTTCAACATAAAAATTCCGAATAAACAAGAAAAGGTGGGACGAATTTGAGAATTGCTGTAGTCATAAAGCAAAGTATTAGTCATCAAAATAGCTCTACAGCTGATTCACATTTCAAGTGCAAATTTTGCTAATAGTTCCCTCTAAACGGGGTTGTGGCCAAACTGCACCTTGAAGCATCCAACTTGAAAAATTCTGATGAATTAAGGAAAAGCGGGATTAAAACGAAAATCACCGCAACCATAGACTGAATTATTCTCTATGAAACAGTGCTCAAAATAATTTTATTCCTTGCCCAAAATCTCCAATGACGCATTTTGGAAGTCTATTCAGACGCGATCGCATCTAAATTGGGCCTTAAATCTTCCAACTAAAAAAAATTCTCAAGGATTAAGAAAGTTCGGAATTAAAACAAAAATCAGCGTATTCATATTCCACACTATTCCTTACTAAAGGCTGCGAAAAATAGCTCTTTCGGGGATCCTCATTTTGGGTGACAATTTTTTGAAAAGTCTCTGTTAAACACGGTTTGTGCCAAACTGCGTTTTGAAGCTTCCAACTAAAAAAATCTCAAAAATTAACCAAATGCGGAATTAATTCGAAATTGTTTGTGAGAACAGAATATAATATTCTCTATGAAATATTGCTGAAAACAACTTTATGGCTAGTCCAAATTTTGCGTGACAATTTTCTTCAGTCAAAACGCCGTCTTGTCCAAACCGCCCACTAAAGTTTCCAACTTAAAAAATTCTCCAGACTTAAATAAAATTGAGCCTAAACTGAAAATTAGTGTAATCATAGAGCACAGCATTCTCTATTGAATAGGGATAAGAACAGGTCTCTGGCGGAGATTCATATTTACAATAGTGATACATTTTTTGAGTGCCAAATTGATGAAAACTCTCTTGCAAGCGCACCTAGTTGGTCCCCAATTTCCAATTTAAAAAAAAATCGCCAATAGAGAAAAATCGGTAAACAGTCGTCACGGGCAGGAGGACTGACTTTTGATTTCTCCAACTCTGTAAAAAGCAGCCTGCCAACTAATCCTCAATTTGACGATTTTTTGAAAAATGCCTTACAAAGACGCCCAATTGGGTGAAAACCAGTCGGAATTGCATGGTAAGGGCGAGTTTAAAGTGTGGCAGCGAATTAAGCGGCGCCAACAGCTCAATACCTGCCTAATTAGTCGGAGTTGAGCACTTTGAGCTCATCCAGGGTCAGGAGTTTCACTTTCAAAGGAACATTTTCGGCTTCAAATATCAACTGTTGAAAACTTTAACAGTGCAATCGAGTTACAATGAAAATGGACGTCAGCTACACCGACCATTCGCACATTATTGGGAAAGGAGGCTTAAGCATAAAGCGCGTGATGGAAGAAACCAAGTGCCACGTTCATTTCCCGGACTCAAACCGTTCCAACTCCAACGAGAAAAGCAACCAAGTGTCCATTTCCGGCGACATCAAGGGAGTGGAATTGGCCCGATCACGCGTTAGAGTAAGCATTTTCTACACTTTCCCCCAACCATCTAACGTTGAAACCTTCCCAGGAATTAACACCGCTGATCTTCGGCTTCGAGTTGCCGATTATGTCGCAGAACGTCGACTTGAACTCTGCCTACATCGTGAAAATCCAAGAACAGTACAAAGTGCATGTGATGTTCAAAACGCGACCGAAACTGCACGCCACCTTGGTGCTGGTCAAAGGAGTGGAATGGGAGGTTCACCAGGTGAAACAAGCCACTCTACTCCTCATGGAGTACATGTGCGAAAACCTAGCGGTAAGATAATTGCGATTGTTTCAATCAGTTGAAAATTGTGGCAATTATTGCAGAATCAAATTCCCGTTCAAATGTCCATGGAGATTTCGCCCCATCATCATCCCACTGTGCTGGGCAAGAACCATTCGAACCTCAAAGCCATCATGCAGCACACCAATTGTCAGATCATGTTTCCGGATGCACAAGACCCGAATATTCCCAACTTGAAGAGGAGCAAAGTGACCATCACGGGCAGTATTCATAACATTTACAACGCTAGGGAGTTGCTGCTGGGCAGTCTGCCTCTGATCATTATTTTTGACTTACCGGATGACTCGACTGAGCAAAACTTAAAAGTAAATCAGTAAAAGACTCTGACAGAGGCGTATGATAACTTTTGGACGATATTTACTTTTAAGTTGTGGTTAGTTAGTGACCGTGATGATCATCAGTAAAAGACGCCTATTTAGGCTTGTGGGTTTATGGTGGCAAAAACAAAACACTATTTTTCATGGCCCCTCACTCCATGAAAAATTGACTCTCCAACTTGCATGGTTATTGAACTCAAAACTGTTTTATTTTCAACAAAACATCAACGCAGTTTTATTTTGCTTAA